TTAGTCATGTCATTTTCTCAAAGCTCTTTTTTTTCTAATTCTTCAGAAAGCTTTCCTCGCTCTGTTACCCAACACTAGATGGCGCTAGTGCCAGACGTCTACTTAGGCGCGCTACATTATTATTTTAAGACTTTTTGCATATTGCCTAGTTTGATAAATTTAATTATAGATTGTTTTTATTTTATTTTTAATTTAATGATATATAATTGTTACGTGTTTTATTATTAACACGAATAGCACTTTATTAAATATACATTAGCATGCACGAGGTCTACGTAATAAAACATCTGATTTCTACAGTTATACCTGCTTGTCTAAATACTATATCATTGTTATGACTGAAACGACCTAATTATGACCTAATTAGCGCATGCCCATAAGTATGACATTGACAGGTACTGTCTGTACTACTAAGAAATTCAGGACTTCATAGGCGTGATTTTAATGACAGCTGTCGCCGAGATCAAGTTATCTTTTATGAACTATAACTGCTGTATAGGTACCATGAAGGTTAGAGAACAGGAGAACGATCACTACGTACTAAAGCATAGTCCACCTGTCCTTGAAAATTGTAGAATACATAGCGGCGCTGACGTCGCTGAGTAGTGACTGCGAAGTTAGCTGTTTATGAGTACAAGTAGGTGAAGTTAGTTGAATAATGTGCAAATTTTCGTTTCATTTTTTCGTAGAAAATTTTCATGCTCCATAATTTTGTAATTTTTGACAAAAAGAAACATTAAATAATGGAGAAATATTTTATTGTGCGTGGATGTGCAAATGGTTATGCATCTTATCGGAAAAATAGACTGAAAATGACTTTTATTGACTGCACTTAGTGATCGCAGCGCCTCACTGATGGTGTCCATATTTCTGGGACACTATTTTCTACGTCGATCGTTCTCCTGTTCTCTAACCTTCATGATAGGTATTATACGGCCGACGTATCTTGGCGAGTCTGAATATAGGCTCTGCGAAGTTTAGCGCATGAACACTCGTGAAGAAAACTGTTATTGTCATTTTTTTATATATACCAATGTACAAATATAATTTCCCTAATACAGTGACCAAAAATATCAAAACACTTTGGAGACATTATAAATTAAAGATTCAATTTTGATACCTCACCTTTCGATAGGGGCAGATTTTATCACAAACACATACAATATTATTTACATTTAATACTTTTTATTTATTTACACTTATTATTATTTAATCACTGTCGCTGAGGGGGGGAAATTCCTAACATAAAGTCGTCGGCCCCTTGTGTACCATGTGAGGTACTTGGCATAGGTTCATCTTCGTAATCGTCGCTCTCACTTTCAGACTCACTTTCTGAATCTGAAGCTGTATTAATGATGAATAATTGATCCGTCATTTCGTCAATAATATGGTCGCTCTTCCTATAGTCATGTTCGACCTCTTGCACTTTTCTGCATAAAGCACTCCATTCATTCTGACCCATTAAATTTACTTTTTCTTGTATGAGCTCCATTGTCCGGGTTACGTTCCAGTCGACGTTTTTAGCGGCTACGTGCCCTTTAATGGCAGCCCACACCATCTCGATGGGGTTTAAATCGGGATGATATGGGGGTAAACGAAGGACATCGTGGTTGTTTTGTTTAAACATTTCATCTATTACGTATTTTTTATTCACGTCTTTGTTTTTTTTTATTAGATCGTAAAGTTGTGGTTTACGCATGTCCTTTTCATATGGTATACCCTTTTCTAATAACCACGATTCCATTTTTGCCTTCTTGTCATTAGATGTAGGGGCAGGATCCATTAATTTGTTGTGGTACGGAGCATTATCGATAACCACCACCGAGTTAGGGCTCAAATTTGGAATCAGTTGGGTCCGTAACCATTTCTCATAATTTTTGAAATTCATGTCATCATGATAGTCTCCGGTTTTGCTGCCAGATTTGAACATTAGTAGCGCGTTCGGAACAAACCCTGCTTCTGACCCAGCGTGTACCATCACTATCCGCTGACCTTTTGATATCGGGCGCTTTAGTCCTTGAGCGGAACCATCTGACCACGCCTTACCTTTTGTATGTGATGAGTGGGCATACGACTCGTCAGTGAATACAATTGGTCGCCCTTCGTCCCTGTATTTTTTCATTGCCTTCAAGTACAAGATCCTTTTCAGGCGAATGTCGGTCTTCTCTATAAGAACCATTCTATTGGTTTCGGTCTTTCGCCACTTGAAACCCAAGTTTTTGATAATTGTCTTTAAGCTCGTTTTACCACCTTGAAAATTTATATCCCGTTTGAGTTTCGCTAGTAATTTGTTTATCGTCGGCATTTCTTTTTCAGTTTTGTGGAAGTTGTGTATGCATCTTTTTACTACTCCCTGGTCAAAATTATCCATATCAGTAATAGGTTTTGATCTAGACCTTTTTTTACCAGGCGTGCGGAATACTGAAAGTAAGCCCGAAATATTGCCTTCAGTTGCGATCCGCTGTACTGTGCGTTGGGACACACCAGTTGCGTTAGCAACTCTTAAATAAACTTTATCGACATCTTTTACGCCTTCTTCTTTTTCTTTTTTCATATATTGCGTTAAATCGTAAATAATTTTTCTCGCCTGGCGATTTAACACACTGTTATGTTTTGGTGGCATGTTTGGCGAATAATATAAGTGCTAACTGACACTTGCAAATAAAACAAATAAAACAAACAAAACAAACTTAACACTATTAATAAAAACAAACAACAATAACAACGAAAACTTTTGTAACCGACTGTGCTCAAGACAGAGATAGCGACACGAACACGACACCAATGCTAACGTGTGACTGAGAAATATTACCGTGTACCGAGCATTGCCGAATAAGCACGAAGCTTTACGAAGTAACCAGAAAGGGATGTCCAACACGCGTGCCTGAGGGTGTTGTTTAATCGATTTTTATTCAAATCGATTAAAATTAAGACATAAAAATATATTTATTTGCAATTTATAAGGAGGTTCTAAATTTTCTCAAATAGTCGTTACTCAAGAAGACGTTAATAGATAATTGATATTTAAGTACATTATGTCTTTCAGCTGAGAAAATAATATGTTTTTAGTTTTTTTTTTATTTAAGTCGAAATCTTGTTTATTATCAACAAAATTCACTATATTTGTAAATCTATTTCGTTTAATATCTTATATAAACAAAAATCAATAACTTCTAAATAAAACTAATCGATTGCGATATTTTATGACTAAAGGGTCGATTGTGTTTACTTATGGTCAATCTCTAGCCTAGACCACCGCCCCCCCGTACGTCGCCTCATGCCACCATTTTGTTCCTTAAAAAAGCTATTGCGCAACCTTCTGCGCGAAGGTCGGACTCGCCAAGATACGTCGGCCGTATTGTACCGTACCGTGAATGTTTCTAGGTAGTTTGTGGTACTATACTATACTCCACAGCTATACTCTGCAATTTACCTGGATATTGTCGGAAAAAATATATCGATATATATCATATCGATACTTTTCAAATGTATCGATATATATTTTTTTTAAATATCGATATTCCGATATATCGATATTTTTTGCTCAAGAGGAGGTTACCTATATAGTTTGCAATCTCAAAAATTAGATAATAAAAAATGAAAATACATATCTGATATATTTATTATTTTGTTTATTCATAAATCGTACATTTATATTGTTTAAAATTAACCATCACTGATACCAGTATTCGTCTGAAATAGACATCAGCAGCACTCTTTCTTTAATGTGCTCACCTGTCAATCTGCTCCTATTATCCAAACAGAAGACATGACAATAAAAATCAATCACCACAAATACTAACTAACATAACAATAGCACGTAAAACTAACCAAACTAGTTACTAGTAGGTACCTACTCACTCTACCAACTAGATGACAGATGACTGTCAGTCAGTGTCGTAGACAGAGAAACCTATAGACTAATGATCCGCGTGGCCTTGAGTGAGAAAGAACCATAACAAATTTTTAGGTTATAGAATAATCTTTATGACTTTTAAACACATTTAGATAAACATTTTAATTGTTCTAAGAACGGAACTGAACAAGATTCACCAATCTTAAGCTCACAAAATACTTTTTTCTCACATAAACCAACTTGTAAACTCCTTAAATCGCTACGCTGTCAAAGTTGTTTAGCAAACTGTAGAGTTTGCTAAACAAAAACCCGGCACGGAGAAAGGGACAAACAATCACACCACTCTATCTCATTTCTATGCAAGACGTATGCATAAATCTATCTTTTTCGTGTGCGAATGCGAAAGAAGACGTCAATTTGTCTATAGGTTTCTCTGTCTACGGTCAGTGTCCTGTTGTTGCCATAGTTGGCTCCACTGCGCAGACCACAAACAAACGGGTCATAGACTATAGATAATATTTATTTTTGTGTTCGAGGCAAAAAAAATATTTCTCGAAAATTCGAGGCGAAATAATATCGTTTTTGATATCCGAAAATAAATATCGAAAATCGATATATCGAAAAAAAAATATCGCCAATACATATCGATTATTTTCTGAAAAAATATCGATATTTTGATATATCGATTTTTTTTTCCCAAGCCTATGTCGTGTCCGTCGTGTCGAGTGACGAGTTTTGAGCAGTTGAGTGTAGATTTGGCGAACTACATAATGTTAAGAAATTAAAAATATTTAATGATTAATTAATAGTGAAACGTGAATTTAAAATTTAAATATTAATTCTGGCAAGTCTTTAACTTCTTTGAATTGCTTAAAGTACATCAAACCGTATTACATTACTATTATTTAAATCCGGGAACCTACTTTTGTGAACACTAATATATTTTCCAATAGGAGTACTTTACAATTTGAGGTGATTAACTAACAGAGTTTCGTCTTATAAAGAGTTAAAATACCGTGAACTTTCCGCTAGATCTTCAGTGTATCTTCATACCTTTGTTGTTTGCAGGTCGGACCGTCGGAATCAAATTGGTGTCATGTGGCACTAACAGAAAAGTTTGCATTGTGAAGTATTTATTGTGAGAATGTTTCGAAGTAAAATAAGGATACACACATGTCGCATAATATTGTTGACATCTTTAGTGTGGTTACTTGTAGATGTTGCACTCTTGGCTATGTACTCTGATTGTTTTGGTGAAGGCTGTAGTAAGAAGACAAATGAAATTGCTGTCAGAGTAAGTAGTGTATGTAGTAAATGTGCAAAAAACAAGAAAACAGCGCTAATAAAATTTAAATACCCAAAAAATTTCATAACAAAAAACGAAATTGATTAAAAAGTAACCATATCCCATAGAATGTTAGGTCTTGAAAGAATATGTTACTTTGTATCCAAATATTTCACTAAATGGTAAATTTATAAAAGTCTATGGGAACTAATTGATCTAAGAAGGGGTTATTATAAAATAAAATAAATATAATAATAATACAAAGGAAAGGACTAGACTAACTACCTAATAATATTGAAATGTTTTATAAGAGGCGACATAAGGTAACAAATGAGGAAAAGGCATTTTCCTAATAACAACGAGAAAATAAAAAAATATGTTTCCAATGTGCCAAATATGGCAGCTGGCAAATATTCCTGTTCAACAGCAGACTACTGGGCTAAATAATTATGACCGAATTGTATTTAATATTATTTGAATAAAATTTTAATAATAATAATAATTTTGAATAAAACTATTTTTACTGATTTTAACATGTTTAATTAACTTTTTTTTAATTCCTGATGTTTAGTCAAAATAGTTTTAATTCAATGTGTAGTATTTGTGTAAATATAAGAAATATTGATATAGTTTATTCATTTTATATTTATTGTGAAGAAAATCTAAAGGGTATTGAGTAACGTAGATATATTATGATATTATTATTATTTATAAAAGATGTGTGAAATAAAATTATTATTAATTGCATCACCTAGAGTAAAGAAGAATTTCGTGGCAAAAAAGCTGCAATAGCAGCAGCTTTACAAAACAATATAGAAGATGGGGACACAAATTTGGAAGAAAATGAAATAGAACAGGATATTGGAGATAATGGGTTAATACTGCCTCCATATCCAAGGTCAAGGCTCAAGAGATGGGCGCCTGTGTCCCCTGTAAGGCCTCAGGATGATTCTCCTGGAGAAATGGGTATGTTTAATATAATATATGTTAAATAAAATTTGTTAATCGAAGCAATTTATTAAATTTTTTTGATTTTATAATTTCTGGTATGAAGCAAATGATGACAAGATTTTTATATCTTAGGTAAAGCTGTAAACATTCCAATTGAACAAGAAAAGTTAATGTTGGATAAATTTCAAGAGAATCAGTTCAATTTATTAGCAAGTGATATGATTTCGTTGAACAGATCACTAACAGATGTTAGATTTGAAAAGTAAGTATATTATACTCATGTAGTCATAGTTTTTCAAGTAAAGAGTTACTAAGACTTATTCTGTAATTTGTATGATGGAAATGCCAGTTACAGTAATATATTGATAATTTTTATAATCTTTGGAATTTTGTACACCACAACTACTTAGATAAGTTTATCTCACAATAACTTTGAGTTTAATATCTTAGGTGCAAGAACAAGCCATATCCAGACCTATTGCCAACAACCAGTGTGGTGATTGTTTTCCACAATGAGGCATGGACGACCTTAATCCGTACCATTTGGAGCACCATCAATCGTTCACCACGACCCTTGTTAAAAGAGATTATTTTGGTTGATGATGCTAGTGAAAAAGGTATGTCACTAAATTTCCATCCCACTAAGAAAGCCTAAGTAATAAAATGTCTAACAACATGAAAAGTAATAAGCTTTAGGTCTAATTAGTAAAATGTATATATAAAAAACTTCAACTTACTATGAGATCCATACAGCAAAACATCTATTCAGCAATTTTTTTTATAAGTAAGTTTATAAATATTATTAGTAAATGCCCGCTTATTAGACCTTAATATCTAAATAGTCAAGGTAGTTATTTCAAAGAAATAAGTGCTTATAATAAATATATTATACTAGCAATCTGCACTGGCTTTGCATGTGTGATTTCTGGATCTCGACAATAGACCCACCTACTAGGTCCAAATATGAATTAATGGTGGCTTCTCACTGCGCGTGATAACACGCGCAGTGCCGCACATACGGGTATTTGAACGATCCACCCGGCCAAAAGTCAAATTTATAAAATACAAACCAGTAAAAAAAAACGACTACCTGGGATGCGGGACGGGTTAGAGAACAATACCCAACCCCTCCCGCCTTCTCACCGTGCATGCCACGCTTCCACGGGCAGTCGAAATTTGATCGTCCCGCATGGTGTATGTGTTTGTTCTCGTGAATATTTCAACAGTGAATATTTGTTATTTTGCGTTTATTTTGGAAGAAAAAAGTTATGGATCCTGAAAAAGCAGGTAATTATCTACTAATTTAAATATAATTTGGATAATTTTTGTAATTGGAAAGATTCATTTTAGTATATTGAAAGTCAAGCATAATATGGAATATTTTTTAGCTATAATTTGTGTTTGAAAAGGAATATGTTATACTACCAAGTTAGATCCTGTCATAATTCTTGATATAATAAAAGTTTAAAGCTACTAGCTAGATATAGAGAATAGAGTACTAACAAATCCAAAAATTTGCCGTGGATAGTCGCGGATAAGTACCTAATTTTCTTTAAAGAAAACATAAAAGTCTTTATTTATGTTTAGTGAATTTTTAAGCAAAGTCTTTTTTGTTTTAGGTCCACAAAGAACCTCGGGAGCAAGAACTGTGACCTGTAAATACTTGTTCGACCGCATGCAGAGCTTCAATTTGCCTAATTGGAAGAAAAACTGACTTTCTTGGATGAGGAACTTCTGTCATGCGGAGCGTACTCAAAAGAGCAAATTAAGACCTTGAAATCCACCTTTTCTCACTTTAAAAGCCAATTAAGACAAAGGTGGTCAAAGGCTCATAAGAAGGAAGACGTGTTTCGCAAATACAATGATTCATGGCTCGAAGGAACTATTGAGATTCCCGCTGTTGCACAAAATCGGCCAGGCCGCCCACGTAAGTTATTTGGAAATGCAAGTGAAAGAACAAAAAGGAGGAAAACTGAGGAGATTCGGTCTAATGTAGAAGAAGATGTGATCGTTCATGCTGCTCAGATTGAGTTGCGGAAAAGTGGAAAACGAAATGCTTCCAATATATTAAATGAAATCACCAGTACTAGTCCGACACACGCAACAAACTATAAGAAAGCATTTTCTGAAACAGGAAAAGAAGAATCTTGCCCTCTTACACCATTGCAAGCATTGGCAATGTTTGTAGAAGCTGATTTAACTCGTCGACAGTACAAAATAATTAGAAATACCAACAAAAAGTTCTTCCCTTGTTACAGCCTTTTACAAAAGACAAAACAAGAATGTTACCCACCGCCAGAGGCATGCAAAGTAACAAGTACCTGCGCTGAAAGCGACTTACAATCTTTGGTTGATCTAACCGTAAGGCGCCTGTCAATCTCCATAGAAGAAGTCCTGATGACATTCAATGAGAAAGAACGAGATAGCCTAAAGATAATATATAAATGGGGTTGTGATGGATCTTAGCAATCTAATTACAAACAAAAATTTGAAAATGATACTGACTCAGATGCTAATATATTTCAGAGCTGTTTCGTCCCTCTACGATTGGTTTGTGGCCAAGATGAAAAAAAGATTGTATGGGAAAACCCAACACCCTCTTCTCCACGATATTGCCGGCCAATCAGGTTCCATTTCGTAAAAGAGAGTACCGACATAACGGAAGAAGAAATTAATTACGTCAAAAACTCTACTGATTCACTAAAGGCAACAGAGGTTGATTTAAATGGCGAAAAATTTTTAGTGAAACAATCATTCATCATGATAATGGTAGACGGTAAAGTCTGCAATGCTGCAGGCACAGGCACGAAATCCACAAGCCGGTGCTACATATGCGGTAGCTAAGGATTTCAACCGATTAGATGTTAAAAAAGAGATAAATCCTGAAGCTATCGAGTTTGGGCTTTCGGTTTTACATGCGAGAATTCGTCTTTTCGAAAGCATTCTCCACTTGGCGTATAAATTGCCTGTTAAAAAATACAAAGATAGGAAAATAGAAGCCGAAATAAAAATCGAAAATGAAAAGAAACTGGAAATTCAAGCCAGATTTCGAAAAGAAACTGGTTTGATAGTAGATATGCCAAAGGCAAATTTCGGCAATACTAAAGACGGCAACACCAGCTTCTGATATAACGGGCATTAGTCATGAACATACAGATGAATATACAGATTAAAAGTCATACTAGAAACGATTTCGAGTGGACATATAATCGATCCAGAAAAATACGACAAATATGCACTAGATACTGCTCGCTTATATGTCGATGTCGTATACCCTTGGCACCCTATGACACCAACAATGCACAAAATCCTTATATATGGTGCAATTATAATAAAAAATGCAGTTAATAGCGCGTAATAAGCATTTCAGGTTATACCGCCAAGAATTCGCTCGAAAATTTTCTAGAGAGAACTGCAACAGAGACATTTTTAACCGGCTTCTTTTGACTTCGGACCCTCTGTTAAGTAGCATGAGAAGTGTAAAAAGTAGAAAACTTAATTCTTTCTTGCCAGAAACAATTGCTCTACTTATGCCTGCGAATCCGAATGAACCTGGTCATTCTTCAGAAAGTGAAGATGAGTATTTGTCTGAAAAATTATAGATATTTTGATGTTTTCTATTTGTTTTGAATAAATACGTCTCCATTTAATATTAAAACCTTTATTTCGTTTACTAATGTCGTTAAGAACCATTATCGAACATAAAATAATTTTAGCCGCGTAGATCGTTCAAATACCCGTATGTACGCCGCGCCCGCACACGCCACGCGCAATTTGTGGCCCAGCGCTATTAAAAACACTTCAGCACTTCGATATAACGACAGTCAACTTGGCACTGCTGAGACTATTTTTGGAGTGGCTGGGATCTACCTCCAAGGGGTCCATCTAGGGCAAAGGCATCACTGGCTACTTAGCGTGTGGTGATGGCTGAAGATTCCACTGTGCTGTAGTAGGTCTCGCAAGGGGCCGCCTGGTTTGCTCCACCACCACCACCCCGTCGGAGTCAGGCTCGTGGCACCTCAATACGTTCTGTCCGTGTGCGGGAGAACCAGTGCCTTTGGGGGACAGAAGGGCCATCATTTGCGTCGTTCAAGACTAGACTGGACTTCTGAGCAAAGTTATACCGGGTAACTCATTCTGGGAGGTAGCGAGATCCAAGGCACGGTCTTGCCGTTGGCCGACCAGACTTGCAGGTAGTTGGGGGCCCAAGTAACCCGCCAACTCGCGAAAAATCCCGAAAAGTTCCACCGTGCCAGTTGGCGACTGGACGGGAGAACCCGGTGGCCATTTTGGGTGGGCTCGGGCGAACCCGCGGTCTCCAAATGAATTCCCCATCGGATAGCTAAGCTCTTGAGACTTCTTCAGTTAGTATATTGAGTGGCGTCTCGATTTCTCAACTGTTTCCCCACTAAACAACACCGAACCAAAATGAAAAAAGTCAAAAGAATTTTCTTCTTATATATTATGGTAAATCAACGACGGCCCTTTCTCCCGCTTAAAGTACACCTCACGAACATCGGTGGGTTGCACACTAATCTCGATCCGGTCCACCATCACCTTGAGACCGAGAAGGCGCCCCTATTCTTCTAACTGAGATGCAGATAGCAACACCGTCTGATGTGCCATACCTCAACTGCCCTGGCTACACGCTTGAACGTAAGTTCAAACAGCGGGTTGGGGTCTGTGTGTACATCCGCGATGATATTTGACGTCGGCGTCTCCGTATACCTACTTGCTTTGAGGTTTCAGGGTTTTTGCAATATGGCTTTTGATGGACACCGGTGTAGGACAACTCTCTATGCCTGTGTCACTGTGTCTATCGATCGCACGCCGGAGACCAGGAGAGAAAATCGACCGTGCTAGGAGAGAGGCGCACAAACTTGCGTTATCGCTGGATCTCACTTAGCTGGTTTATTTAGCGACACGGGTACCAGATGTAGACGGACATAATACACCTGCTGTCAACAGCTGCCATCAGACCCAGACAGGCAATCGGTATCAGTTTCAGCTCCGCTGGGATCATCCGATCACTCTCTGGTAAAATCCGTATCGATCATCTGCCCTCCGGATGACTGTCCAGTGAGCACGAGGAGTATGGCGATACAAGTCAGCAGACTGGGATGAGATGCGGCACTTTTTTGCATCCTATCCGTAGCGACAAGTGTACTTCTCTTCGAATAAACCCTACTGCTACGCCGATTCGGTTGCGGATTTGATACGGCAGGGAATGGAATATTTTATTCCGTTTTCCAACATTCCGTTCGGTCACAAGAATTGGCCCGGACTGTGCTCGTGCTGAGGCCCGCAAAATAACCCGCACAAGACTCGGAGAGTTCGTGCAAAGAAGAGTCTTCAACAGATTGTACTTCGGAGAGTGTGCTCCATGAGCTCATATCGCCATCTTCATTCTCCTATCGGAGTTCCAGACGTACTGCAGGGTACCCTCCATACTTGGTTGATATTCCAAATATTCGCACTTAGCACTATAAGAGTGGAAGGCCCTGCCGCCGTCTGTTTTTCCCAGTGCATATAATCTTAACCTCTTCAAGGTGCGTGACTATTCCTGGGTAAACTCGCTCCATCGTAGACCTCATCTTTAGTGAAGAATGACGATGGGCAGTCGGACTGGCAGTAAAATTACTATTATTATTACTTTTGACGAAGGTTTTTTTCACCATTCTGGTTAATTTCGTCTGAAAATACTAAAATGGTTATTGCATCATCATGCATATTAGACTTCTATTTTATCATCAATTTAATTTGATGATGTAATGTGTTTTCTTACGGCACTACCTGAGAGATATTGATATACTATATGAGCCGCGTTTGAGTTCTATTAATATGCTAAAACATCATTAGTATTACTTTGTTTTTATTTAACTTCACCAAAAAAAGAGGATAACGTTTTCGGATGTATTTTATACGTATAACATAAGTACATAATATGTATGTTTATCTGTTTCTTAGTGACCTTGTTATTTAATGTAGAAGTGCGAGACACCTTTAGATTCTCCTACTGCTTAGGAGAAAATAAAGTACCTATTAAAATTTGGGAAGTTAGGTTTGCGTTTGGTTAAAAGTTAACAGATTAAATATCTCATGTATGTTATAAATTCTTAGAACACCTGGGTAAAAAACTCGAGGACTACATAAAAACGCTGCCAGTGCCAACGCGCCTTTTCCGGACAGAAAATCGCTCGGGACTCATTCGGGCGCGACTTTTGGGCGCTAAACACGTCAAAGGAGACGTCATTACCTTCTTAGATGCTCACTGTGAATGTACAGGTAATATTTAGAAATTGTATAATGTAATTTTATCGTACATAAATTTTTTGTTTATTTGATTATTATCTGTCGATACATTTTTCATCACATTAAAATTAATTACATTAACATTATATCTGATACAGATGATAGTTTAAGACGATAAGTGCGTAAGCACGTAAGCGCACTCCGTGCGTGTGCGTGCGTAGCCGATTACTTCCAACTGTAAACAGAAATTGTCAAAATGGGCCTTCTGTGGTATCCCGGGTGCACAAATTTTTCTAAAAGTTTTATAGAACGCAAGCAGACAGAGTTCGATCCCAGCCGGCACCTATGAAATTGTCAATTGCAATTTTATATTACATTTTACTAAGCACTAGAATTCCCTTCTGCGTAGAAGTCTGTCTGGCTAAGATACCTCCCCCCCTCTTACCTATTTCTGCCACCAAAAAGCAGGGCTTGCAAATCTTGTCTGAAGGTTATAGAAAGCCAGTTTTACAGGCTCATATATCAGGGAATAAATCAGCGCCATTTCTTAAATACTCATAACCTACAACAAAACCAGTGTTTTCACTTACGATCTTGGTTTTACCCTAGAACCTGTAGAAATACTCCCTAAATTATCGTTAAAAAATCGAAGTAGCCTTATTTATTGCACCTGATTTTTAATATTTTAAGGAACAACATCATCGCAAAATTTGAATATCATTTCACGATTATAAATCTTGAATTTTGTAATGAAGAAGACGTTCTCATTTTCAAGTTATAATAACTTTTAGTCTCATATGAATAACGAGTATGTAAGTAAGTAAAAATATACCATTATTCCATTCTATTTATTGTATTATTTGTTAAAGAAAAACTCTTTCATTCTACACTTTTCTAGCTCTTTTGACCCTATCCCCTTCGATAAATCTTTAAAAAAAATACACTGGGTGGAAATAAAAATCAGGGTTACATGAAGTTCGGTTTTAGCCCAAATTATCCAAAACCCTGTCAACTTGAAGAAACGCCTAAAGCCCTACCTATATTAGTAGATTCACCCAAAAATAGTGTAAAATATGTAAAATTGGAAACACTGTACGGACGCACGGCACGCATTGGTGGTCGCCTTGGTGCTCCATACATATTTTAGCACCAATGAGTCGGTGCCATTATGTTTGTTCAATGAACTGGTCCATACGCAGTAGTATAATAAGTCTATGCTGTTAGGTAATTCATCTTGAACCTCTGAGGTCACACATCTGTAGCCCCTTTTTTGTGTGAAGTAGATTGCAGAGCCATTGGCGTCAATAGCCACTCGCCAGGTGGACTGTAAGTTTTTTCGTTACTTCAGTTTTGTAAAAGATGCCAATATACCACGTGCCCGACATTGAAGAAATACATCGTTAGGAAACCTGTACACCTGAGAAATAAAATATGGCGAGGATATGTAACGTCCAACAACACTCATTTATCTCTTCCGTGGGCATCACACAATAGAGCATCCGTTATACCGTTACTGTTGCCGCCTATTAAAGTCCGCTGCTGAACATAGCTTTCCACCATAGTGATATTTGCAACCGCAGTTTTTTAATTTTAATCGTTATTAGGTACACGCTGCTGCATATTTTCTAATTTGTCGTCTCTTACGACCATAACATACTATAATACATACATAATAGAACGGGGGAGTGGGCGGAGCCCGCGTAGCCACTAAAATGTCACTAACACGTCAATTCACACGTTTAAGTGTCAACTCGAGATATTTTTTGACGTTACAATCGTTTACAAATTTCGCATGTAAATTATTTAGAAATTGCCAAATTGCACCATATTTACAAATAAATATGTATTAAAATTTAAACGATTTTTTTTAATGATGATCTTGAACATTAATCAAAAGTCTAAAATATGTAAATTTATTCAGTTTGTCAACACAGCGAATCGGGTTTGGCGACGCCAAGGCTCGTACAAAATAAAGTTGACAGCCATTCTATTGTGTATTATTGTATTCTATGCTTACGACACCCACGGGATGATATAATGTTGTGGATATTCTTATACAGCCACTACAAGTTACTATACTAAAGCATCGCGGCAGACTAATTGCTCAATTACCCTCTCAGAAATGTGAGGTGACCTGTATTACTGATTTTTTAACATCTTTCGGGGTCCGTCGAAATCATTCAGCGAGTGGATCGTCACTGTCTTAAGTAGTAATATAATATGTCATAAGTTATTGTACATAGAAGTAACAGAAGTTGTACTAAATTCTTAACTTAACAGAGGGCTGGTTGGAACCGCTGCTAGCTAGAATAGTGGAAGACAGAACAACTGTAGTGTGTCCCATCATTGATGTCATTTCCGACACGACCTTCGAGTACATACAGGCATCGGATATGACGTGGGGTGGTTTTAATTGGAAACTCAACTTTAGGTGGTAAGTAAAAAGATCTATATTCATTAAAATTACCATATTTACATTAAAGTAAATATTATCCTATACCTTTAAACGAGCAATTCTCAAATATAATAGGAATCTCGGCAACGGCTCCAACGATTTTCATAAAATTTAGTGTCCGGGGGGTATCGGGAGCAATAAATCGATCTAGCTAGGATTCATTTTTAGAAAATGTCGTTTTGTCCGTGTTTTCAGGCAATGAAATACTGCTACAATATAAGGAGGTAAATTTTGACGCTATAATAATAATCGTAATAGCTCATATGGGGCCGTCGCGAAATCGTAGTGCCCTGGATCGCGTCCTGTCTTCGGTCCGACTTTTCCCCATTTTTTTTCAAGTTTCCTTCTATTGTGAGAAAATCTATTATTTTGAGCCCTTTTTTAGCATTTAAAAAAAAGAAAATTTAAATTAAACTAATTGCATTCATGATTTTTTATTCAAATAACCAGTTCAGTTTTTTCTATTATGTCAATAAGATCTAAAAAAAATATTATTCATGTTTCATCACTATATAATTTGTTATTTAAAATTAAATATAATTTCCAGAACACACGATTTCCAAAAAAAAATACCGAGGAAAGCTCGGTCATCCAGGTACTGACACATAAAATAGTTCAGGAAGTTAATATCATTATTTGCAGTAGGAAATATGGAAAAAATTACATTTTTTATAGGGTAGGGTGACAAGCGAGCACAAGTGGTAAGTGGTTGCTGTGGCCCATAGACATCTACATCTATCCTCGGACTAAAATGGAATGCCTCGTTTCTATAATCTATATAGTAACAAGGATCTCCGGTTCTGTACACTCCCCATACGAAACACAACAGTATTATTAAGCTACTATTTTAAGCTGGTATTCTGTGAGAGGGTGGTCCTTCCCCAGTGGAACCGACCCATTCGTGCTACCACTATACTACTAATATAACTGCAGTATGGCTCAACCACGTATAAAATAGATATTTGATTTCCTTGATATATTATCTTGCGATTGTGGACGGCGACATACAAAGAGATAATAAATACATTTATTTCTATGCAAATAGATTATACGCCTCACTTTGGACAGGATTGGAGACCTATGTTCAGCAGTGGACTTGTGAAGGGCTGTAATGATGATGATGAATGATGATGAAATAGATTATTCTTATAAAACCAATGAAAACATAAAAATGACAGCTACAAATGGTGTTTATTAATTGTGTGATTATTATTTTAAGTATTTAATTAATTAACATAGTGACAAGTAGATTGTTTAAAAAGAATTTGTGCGCTCGAAACCTTATTGTACCGGGCTGGAATGTTTGTCCATATGCGATTTGTTTGTAAAACGCCTCCGTAATAAAGGCAAACCTAGTTTAGGTAGTAATGTATGCCTATTTAACGGCCATAGAAAACAGAGTTGGTCGCACATACGCGAGGGCATCAGGGGCACCTCGAGGCCATCCTGTGTCTTTCTAACATATCATTTGTTAGTAAAGTTGAAATTAAATTATAATAACTTTCCTCATAGGCATAATATGATAAGTGGTTTGTACAAAACGAGAAGTCAAAGTATGAAATTGCCGTTTTAAGGTGAAGCGAAAACATGATTAGCGACCGTAAAAATTCTGTAAACACATACTTGTTACGGTCGCGAATCATGTTTTCGCTAATAAAGTAAATAATGGAGTGCTCATAAATTAAATGTAAAAATGGTGATTCGTGATTAAAACTTTTTTACACTATAATCAAATTTTTACTATAACATTCTAAATTCTAAATTTTATGACATTATATTGTTTGGCTTTAAATTGTTTTGACATTAGATTTAAACACGAAGACTTCAAAAATTTGAGTAGTAGAATACGAGTTCCGATGTTATTCTAACGCAGCAGACAGCTCGCAATGATGAATGATGATGATGAAATTGATGCGTTAGGAGAGGATACAACTAACGAACGCGTATGTTCATCTTTTGCTTAATCTCTTGTAGTAGAAACTTCGAACCACGAGAAAGACCAGACACTAAGATAAATGATGATGACTTAAAAGTAACAATGTTATAATATGCATGTAATACATATAATCCTTCCTCTTGATTCATTATGTCTATGGATGAATAACCGTATCAAAATCCGTTGCGTAGTTTAAAGATCAAAGCATACAGACGGCGGGAAGCGACTTTGTTCTATACTATGTAGATATGGTGGAAGCCAATCCTTTTTAAACAACTAGACTAACGTTAAAACATGACACTAATTCCGTTATAGTTTGATGTTAGTTCAGTCACAATATTGACTTATGTGCACTAAATTGCTAAAATAAAAATCTCGGCACATGGGTGTCTCGTGAATTAACTGGACTGCATAGAGAAGCACACGATGCTTTGCTTTGATACCTCTTGATATGGAAACAAATGTAGGGATTTGTATCAGAATTGTGACATGTGTTGAAAAGTGGATTCTCTATCAATAAGAGTTGATGCCTATTGTGAAGAACTACCATCAATAATGGCGAAACTCATAGAGAAAGAATCCGGACTCGTCAAATGATCTTCGCCATTATTGCTTTATGGTAATGCAGGACCTCATACTATTCGACAAACAATTCTAACATTATAAGACCTGCAGTTAGAAACCATACGTCATCTTCTGTACCTATGCGCCAGACCTGGTCCCAACCGATTAAGTCTTTTTGCAATCTAGATAATTTTCTGCAAAAAAAAAAAACATTGTTTTTAGGAAGTGGTACAAAATACCTTCACAAACTTCGTAGAGTCCAAATACCGGAGTTCTATCGCAATAAAAATGTAAGCGGGGTACAATAGGGATCTAACAAATCAATATCGATGAAATTGTTGAAATTGCTTTAAAAATCATCAGTGTTTATGATTCTAGATCCTATACATTTAAACGAGTAATTCTATATATATATATATAATCGGAATCTCGAAAACGGCTCCAACGATTTTCATAAAATTTAGTGTCCAGGGAGTTTCGGGGGCAATAAATCGATCTAGCTAGGATTCATTTTTAGAAAATGTCGTTTTGTCCGTGTTTCCAGGCAATGAAAAATTGCTACAATATAAGAAGGTAAATTTTGACACTGTATTAATGATCGTAATAGCTCGAGTAGATATCGGGCCGTCGCGAAATCGTAGTGCCATGGTTCGCGTTCTGTCTTCGGTCCGACTTATTTCCTTTTTTTTTCAAGTTCCCTTCTTTTGTGAGAAAATCTATTATTTCGAGCCCTTTTTTTAGTATTTTTTTTAAAAATTCGAAAATTTAAATTAAACTAATTGCACTCATGGCTTTTTATTCAAATAACCAGTTCAGTTTTTTCTATTATGTCAATAAGATCAAAAAATATTATTCATGTTTCATCAGTATGTAATTTGTAAAAATAAATATGATTTCCAAAACACACGATTTCCAAAAAAAAAAAAATACCGAGGAAAGCTCCGTCATTCAGGTACTTTCTAATAATGTGCCTAAAATCAGTATGTAAAACAATAGCGTATTTTTATATTTATAAGAATTTTCATATTTTCTCCCTCTATGTATAGCATCCTCCTGATAACAGCTTAATAATAATAAAACTTACTGCGGATGCCGACTCGCTTGCCAACCGTGGCAATAGACAAAGTTGGAGACTGACAGCTGCAGCATTATTTCCGGGTTCTAAACAACTGTGTTTTAATTAGATCAAACATAATTTTATCATATTAAGACAGAACAACCGATCAGTTTCTGAATAAATTATTAAAATGAACTTAAAGACCAATAAAGATATAGCTGAAAGTGTCACCGGCGGCGCTGCGGTCCGACTCAAGGTTTTAGCGCGTCGGTTATGCAAGTCTGTTTTGATTACATAATTATTACTTCTATTGTACCTACTAATTTTTGAATGCTAGGAGAGCATTTGTTTGATTTAATTAAAAAGAACACCTATGGAATTTTATATTGTGAAGTAAAAGTACCTGTTATTACTTTTCTGCACTATTCATGAAATAAATTAAACTATATCCACATTTTCTATTTTAAATAACCTGTCTACGAACTGTATGACATATGTTAAATGTAGCTTTCCATATGGCTCACAGATCTACTTGAATACATTTAAAAACTAAGAATACACGATTAACGGCCACATAAATACTATAAGTGCGGCTGAAATAATACGATAACATATGTTTGTTCTCCATAAAGGAAGATTTTTGGAATGCCTTAACAATAAACATACAACAACCTTCTAGTTAATTAAATGAAGCTAGCTAAACGATCTCATTTCGACCAATGGGAATAGTAAGAAACAATTATGGTCTTATCTATAGCCATCTTCAGCGCCAGCGTGGGACAGCAGGGTCAAAAGCTTGCTACAATATTGATACTGTGATCAATAATTCATATACGTACCATACGTGGCGATAAATTTTTTTTGTCGGTGTGAGGTGTAGTTTATTGTAGCCCCCGTTACCATATATATATTAGAGTTAAGTGTAGTAGAATAAGAGTAGTCTAATTAAAGTCAAAGAAATAACAACAGATACCTTTTCTTGACACCTTCCCAAATTGCATGGCGACCATACCATAATTGCGTAAGTAATTTGGGATAATATATTGAAATATGAAAATAATGTGAAAATTAAAAGAGTATTATTACTGTCGTAATCTAAAATGACTACGAGAAACGGTCAATGTCTAACAGTGAACTGTTGTTTAAGCTCTAATTAAAATGACGAGGTGCTTGTATAGGAAGGAAAAGTTTTATGAAACTGACGACAGTATACAGTTAATTTTAATACATTTTAGAGATGTTATTTCTTACAATCATGATTCATATAACTAATTGCTGACTAGCTTTGTAATTATCACGAGTTTGTTCCTTTTGTTGAAGATCAATTTAGATCATTTTATAGTTGTTAAATTTAGCGTTCTATCTGTTTTAATCTTTGAGTATTACTCAAAGATTAAAACAGATAGACTTAAGTTTACGCTA